AACCCCCTTAGACCCTTAATAATCCAACAAAGAGCTGCTGTGAGGGGTGACAACCAGCTCCTGTGCTACACAGCACATTCCACCACTTTTCAAAAGACTCAACTTGCTAAATATACAAGACATACACTCTTATTATTGTGCCTATTACATATACAAAACATTAAACTCCACTGTAAACCCTCCCCTAAAACTACTACTTGACAGTTACAACAGAATGCACAGGCACGATACAAGGCATAAGGCATTTTTCTTGATCAAGAACTAGCAAGTTTTCTCTCATTCACTGGTTTGATTGAACCTTGTTAATTAAGCCATATCTCGACACAATATCAACCACGTACAGTGCTGTAGTATAGTAGAATTTACTCTTATTTTAATCCACATTTTCATATCTTTTAGTGAATAACGGTAATTAATTCTCAGTTACTTAAGACACCTAAGGTGCTATTTAACCCTTTCAGGGTCCGTCCCGTAGATCTACGGCTTTACAGTGAGTGTCCAAACCGTAGATCTACGCCATGAGCTCAGCTCACTCTGATAAACTGTGAGTGGTACATTTGGGCCTAGATATGAGAGAATACATCTATGTGGTATGTGTGCACCACATAAAACAGATCCTGCAGCACACTGTGTATAATGAGAGAAAAAAACTGAAATCATGATTTTTCGATTAAAACAGCGACTTTGCAGTGTTTTTTCGTATGTTTTTTATAGTTGTTTTGCGATTTCTTGGTCTCATTTGATAGAAGGGAAAGACATATTACAAAAATAGAGATGTTTTTTGATTGGTTTTAGCACTGGAAATGGCTTGAAACTGAGCTCAAAGTAGCGGAAATGTTAAATTTTTGCCGATATTAAAGAGTAAACAAACGACCTCACACATCTAATACACGTCAACTGGTGGGTCTAATATACATTCACAAAATATGGTGATGATATTTATACAATTATTACAGTATTGCATAACAGTAAATCTTCTATTTTTTGGTGTGAATAAAAATTCATTATGTGAATAAAAAATCAAAATGGAATTTATTTGTAAAGCCTCAAAATGTAACTAATGAACAGAGGAAATGTTAGTTTAGTTCCAGGAATACCTACATTGTTTATTCTGGAGCCTATTTTGAAATTGGAATATTTTGAACTTTGTGTTAAATTGGCCAAATTAACAATTTCCGATCACTTTATTTTGTAGTTGAAACAGTTGATTTGGCGATTTCTTGTGCTCAATCGATAGAATAGAAGTAATACTAGTGAAATAGCTAAGACTTTGGTTGATTGGAATAATGTAATTGGCCTAAAATGGGAGTCAAAGTCGGCAAAATCGCCGACTCGTAAATATCGCTGACACATCAAAATTCGCGAGAGCATAATTTCGTCAATTTTCCACCAAATTTCGTACTTTTTGTTTTATTACCTTCACAAAAAGATTCTCTACGATTTCATAAGAAAAAATAACAAATTTTTTTTTTTTAAATTCTTGGACACTGGTGCGTGACTTCAGATTTTGGCCTTGGACCCTGAAAGGGTTAAGGCACTAATCCAGGTGATTAAGTGTTTTATTCTCTGTTTTATTTTATACTCGAAACCATTACTTTTAATCAAGGTGCTAAAGTGTTTTGTTTTAATATACAGTAGCTCCATTATTTTTAGATTTAAAATAATTATCTTAGTTCATAAGTTCATATTTGTTAGTGGTTTAACATCAATTGCTTTTGTCTTTTTTTCTTTTTTAATAATTGTAACAGCTATTTCTCTACGTACCCCTTATGAATGCAATTATCGATCCTGATATCAACCTCTTATTGAACTGCACACATAATCCAAACAGTAATTGCCATTACTACACTGCTAGTCAGGCTAATACCCTTCTCAGTGTCAGCAAGAACATTACAGTCTTCAACTACAATGTTAGATCATTGAGTAAGCACTATGATGACCTCATTGCATTACTGAAGTCTTTAAATGCTACTATAACTTTCATTATACTAACTGAAACCTGGCTCAACCTTCCCATCTATACTCAAGACAGCAAGGGTCGCCCAAGTCGACAAAGGAAGAGATCCAACTGATTTGAACAACTACAGACCCATATCAAACTTGCCCTTACTCTCCAAGATATTTCAAAAAATAATGCACGAGTGACTTTACTCCTACCTTACATCCAACAACATACTTAACCCATGCCAGTTTGGGTATAGACCAAAAAAAAAAGTACGAATGACGCTATTATACAAATGCTTGACCTAATATACACAGCTCTCAATAAAAATGAATATCCTATGGGGCTCTTTATGGACCTATGAAAAGCATTTGACATAGTTGACCACAATCTCTTGCACCTCAAACTGAATCATTACGGCATAAGAGGACATTCTCTTGACCACCTTAAATACTATCTTAACGACAGAGACCAGTCAGACTCTCACTATGCAAGAATGCTATGCACATAAAAGGCCCGAAGATCTGGAACTTGCTTAGGACTTTGCTAAAAAAATCATCTTATCTCACAATATTAACCAAATCAACCAAACATCTGCTAACTAGTCTTATTATGCAACCACTAGGCTCTTAATTCTGCCAATCCATAAAATCATCTTGTTTCTCAATATTAACCAAATCTGCCATAACATCTGTTAATTAGTCTTATCATGTGACCTCCTGGCTTTTAATTCTGCCATTCCATAAAGTATTACCACCTGCACCATTACTTGTAAGTTAGATTTTGTACTAAGTTCAAATAATGATTGTAAAACAACTAACCACTATTCCTTGTTTAGTTTTAAGTATAGTTACTATGTACTATTATCTTATCTAGTTTTAATTAGTTACTATGTATTAGGATTAGTTTGCCCAAAATGCCTCGGCATGATAGTGGCCATCTTTGTACTTAGCAAATCAAAATTGTAATTACACATTGTAACCTTTACAAAGAAATAAACTTTATTATTATTATTATTATTATTATTATTATTATTATTCCTCAAGTTACTCTCTCATTATGCAAAAACGCTATGCACATAAAAGGCCCGAAGATCTGGAACTCGCTACCGTAACAGGTCAAGGATCCCCTGACAGCTTATAAATTTAGGACTTTGCTAAAAAATCATCTCACAATATTAACCAAATCAACCAAACCTCTGCTAACTAGTTTTATTATGTGACCTCTAGGTTCTTAATTCTGCCAATCCATAAAATCATCTTATTTCTCAATATTAACCAAATCTGCCAAAACATCTGTTAATTAGTTTTATCATGTGACCTCCTAGCTTTTAATTCTGCCATTCCATAAAATATTACCACCTTCACCATTACTTGTAAGGTAGATTTTGTTTGCAATTTCAAGCTAATTTTACCGAACCCTACTCACTTGTACTAAGTTTAAATAAGATTGTAAAACAGCTAACCACTATTACTTGTCGTTTTAAGTAGAGTTACTATGTACTATTATCTTATCTAGTTTTTATTAGTTACTATGTGTTAGGATTAGTTTGCCCAAAATGCCTTGGCATGATAGTGGCAAATCAAAATTGTAATTACACATTGTAACCTTTACAAAGAAATAAACTTTACTTTACTTTACTTTGAAGCACGGTGTAAGATGAGTGTCACTCCACTGCTGGCAAAGTTTTTTTTTTCTCATTACGCACTGTGTGCTGCAGGATTTTTTTTATACTGCGCACACTGACCACATAGACCCATTCTTTCATATGTAGGCCTACCAGCTTTCTCTCACTAGATTTGAGGGTGCTAGAATTTAGGCGTACTAGTACGTCAAAAACCCTGGTGCGTAAGCCGTACTAGTATGGCCGAAACCCTGAAAGGGTTAAACTGTGATGATGAAAGTATTTTCTTTTTGGGGATTTTCTTTCTTTTTGGGTCACCCTGCCTCGGTGGGAGACGGATGACTTGTTAAAAAACTGTCCAAACGTAGATCTATGTCAGTAGATCTATGTTCATGTGCGTAGTGCTCCAACCTTATTTTTTTACATTTGAAAGCATGTAAAAAGAAAGTAGATCTATGTTCGGAGAGCTACGCATGTGAACATAGATCTACCTTTGGACAGGTTAAGGGTTAATGACTTTTAGCTTCAAAAAATGACCAAGAACTAATTAACAAATAAATACACCCACAACACATTTAATAGTTTACTACAGAATTATATTCTAAGAACGTTAAATTTCTAGAAAATGACTAAATTTCCAATACGAGCACAATAATATCTTGGGGGCAATTAGAAATAATCCAGATTCAATAAGAAATCATTAAAACTTTTTTCTTTTTTTTTTTTGCATTAGCAATCAAGTCTTGTAAGTGCAGTGAAAGGAAAAAGTTATTTATTCTGGAGGATATACCCATTCAGGGTAGGTGTCTTGATACAAGGAATTGGACCCATGCTCCTCTTCCTTGCACCAACCCTGATTATCTTCCATGCCCCAGGTGCTCCATAACCCCTAAAAGTTGAATGCTTAATAATTAAAATAATAATAAAATACTGCTGTTACTAATACTACTGCTAATATCACCACAACTAAAGTGTCTCGTGGTTTGGTTGGTAGCACACTTACATCATAAGCTGCGGGTCTGATCTGTGGTTCACCTAGCAACAAGAAGGTACCTGATGTTAGTTGACTGTTGTAGGTAAAATCTCAGGGGGTAGTAGTACACCCTAGATAGGGCTAGGCTGTGAAATGAGCTTAGCTCTTAGCTTGAAAAAATTGTGTGCAAAAAACTACCACTACCACTACAACAACAACAACTACCACCACATACTGCTACCATTAATACTGGTACTACTACTAATCTGTAAGATATAAATGTTAAAATTAATTTACATTATACTGAACTATTTAGTGACAAAAAAAAAAATACTGTAATTTTGACCCCCTTAAAAATTTATATTTTATGTTGGATGATCACAGAATAACCTGAAGTAGTGGTCTGTTTTACACACTATTATCATCATTAATAATAATCATGATAATTAAGGAAAACTAACCAATAAGAACTTTGTTAGAAGTCCCAATGCAGAATCATGGGCTAGTCTTGGTGCTCGTGCCAAAAGTGGCTCTCCGGTGTGAGTGGGAAAGGAATACTGTGCAAATTCTTCATTGTTGCTAATGCCAGACCAATTTGCTTCTGTGGGAGTGCCTAGAGTACGAAAAATTAGATGAAGTTCATCTTCAACTGTGGCACCAGGAAACAGCGGTCGACCACTGATCATCTCGTACATAATACAACCAACACCCCTGTAAAAAGTGAAACCTTATGAAATTATCCATTTCTAAAAATGTCTAGAGGACTGTCATCTTTATCCAGTATTTAGATTATAAAAAATCAAGAAAAATTCAAGAGAAAATAAATAATAAATATAAATACAACAGCACATTAGTTTTATATCAGTGTTGTATGGCAGAAAACAAGAATTTATTAAAAATACTTTGAATTTATTAAACATACTTTGAAATCACATATTTACATTTTGAATACATTAGAGAAAAGTCATCCTTCAAGGGAGGTCCCTGAATGCTGTTGAAAGGCTCTTGATCTAAGGAATTGGACCAATGCTCTAATTCCCTGAATAAGAGTGAATGCCTTCCATTCCCCAAAGTGCTATATAATCCCTACGGATTTAATGCTTTCCCCATGAATATAATAAGAGGAAGAAAGTCAAAGCTTTCATTATTTTGTAAAACACTTCTTTTTAAAAATAATTTCAATTCTCATGATTTAAATGAATGACCCTATTAATAAAGTAATCAAGAGCATAAAGGCACTGGCAATAAAGAAGCTGAAAGAAAGACAAAATCCTATTTCAAAAAGTTTAAAGGAAATAGAGTTGAGCACTGCTGTAAATATATAGAGAATAATAAAATCTTTAACCCCTTGACTGTCGATTGTAATGACACCAAAAAAATGAAATTTGATGGAAAACTGTCGGAATTACGCTCTCGCGAAGTTAGCGACCTCGGCGATATTTACAAATAGGCAATTTCACCCACTTTGAGCCCTATTTTCAGCTAATTCCGTTGTTCCAGCCGACCAAACTCATAGCTATTTCTTTAGAACTCCATTTTTTCTATCGATTGAATACAAGAAACTGCCCATTTACCGATTTCAACTACCCAATAACATGGTCAGAAATTTGCAATTTGGCCAATTTCATGAAAATTAAAAAATATGACAATTTCAAAATAAGGTTCAGTATGAACAATGCAGACATTCCTGGCTCTAAAATAACATTTTCTTTGTTCATCAGTCACGTCTCCAGGCCCCTCTGATATTACTCTTGCTTTCTATTTTGAATTTTTATTCAAACAAAAAATAGAAGATTTACTGTTATGCAGACTACTACAATATTGTAATAATTGTACAAATAATGTCAACCCATTCATGACTGCATATTAGAATGGCAAGTTAGACATTTATTGGACAATTACATCATTTGTTTACTTTTGAACATCGGCAAAAATCAAACATTTCTCCTACTTTGAGCTCCATTTCCAGGTTCTTTTTATAATAAAACTAATCAAAATCGCCTCTATTTCTATAATATGTTTTCCATTCTATCAAATGAGACCAAGATAACGAGAATACAACCATAAATACTATACGAAAACAGACCACAAAGTCGGCATTTTAATTAAAAAAAAAAAAAAAAAAGTTTTTTTTCTTTTCATTATGCACTGCGTCCTCCAGGAATTTTTTTATATAGTGCACACTGACCACATAGACCCATTCTTTCACATGTGGCCTACCAGCTTTCTCCTGCTTGATTTGAAGCCGCTAGAATTTATGAGTATATATACGTCAAACACAGTACCTCGTAAGACGTATATATACGACCGAAACAGTCAAAGGGTTAAAGAAAATAAAACAAAATAAACAAGTGCTAGAAAAGTGACATCTGAAACCACAGGGACTAAAAACAGTTGAGATCATTCTAAAAATGTCTCCTGAAAGAGACAGCCAGTGTAATAATGGGCTGACAGAACCCAAGTTACAGAGATCTCCACAATGAAAGAGCCAATTTTTTTAAACACACTGACCATTTCCCGACAAAGAAAACAACTTTCAGTCACTCATTCAAGTACAGTGGAACCTCGACTTACGAGTGTCCTAACATACAAGTTTTTCGAGATATGAGCCGTCGCTCGGTCGATTTTTTGCTGAGTTACGAGCCAACATCCACGTTACAAGTGAGCTTCCCCACTTCCCCCTCAACCCACAACCCTCACACCTCGCTTGTTTATCTATGATTTCATGCTATAATTCCATGGACATCATCATCTTTTTCTACTCAGCATTATCCTTTGCATTTACTTTCTTAGGATCCATGGTTAGAAAAAAGAAATTTGGCAAAATAACTCTACAAAATGCAAGCAAAGCACGAGAGAAATGCTTCCACTGCTCAGCTGAGGTTTTGACATTCACTACAACAACTAATGGTGGTGTTCTAAGCTCCTCATTATTATTATTACTATTATTATTATTATTATTATTATTATCATCATCATTAATTTAGGGAACTGAAGCTTGCTCATTATTATTAGTATTATTATTAATTTAGGGAACTGGAACACAGATCCAATTCTCTAGATTAAGAGCCCCTCACCAGTGTCAAGGTTCCTTGATGCTGGTGAGGGGCTCTTGATCTAGGGAATTGGATCAGCAACTATGCTGACACCTCGCCATGCCTTTCCACACTGTGTAAGCCACTATGCTTCTTAAATCTCTCAAACCAGCCTTTGCTGGCCTTAAATTCACTAACATCAGCACTAGTTCCAGGCATTTTCTTTACGAGATCATCATGCAACTGCCTTACCTTTTCACAAATTATCGACTGCATACACTATCCTGCTAACTGTTTTTCGCTAATCCACACCAACGACAAAGTCTCCACATCTTCAAATATTTACGATCTCTATTTTGTAAGCATATTTGCACCTCTCGCAACAGCTTCCTTGCTTTCCTCTTTCTTGGTTACAATGGAAGCAATGGTTGTATGGGGTTTCTTATACAACCTGGCAAGCTCTGCCACAAGTACTCCACTTTCATATTTTGCAATGATGTCTTTCTTGAATTCTATAGTGTTTCTCACCTTCTTTACTTAAGGGCTGGCACTAGAAGCTTTCTTTGGGCCCATGGTGGCTTATTTAGCAGTTGCAAGCACAAAAAAGAATGGAATATTATGATATGTATCGTATGAATGCGTGGGGCGACGGTCATTTGCTGATAAACAATAGCAGATTGACCGTGAATGGTGTGGGATGGTGTGTGGGGCCGTTTGGGAGCCGCTCGTACGCGTTTGGGATGAATGACCATTACCGAGGTAAATGACGATCACCGAGCCAATATTTTTATGAAAAAACATTACGATTAACGATTATTATAAAATCCAATGACTACGATATCCGGGGTCCACTGTATTAGAAAGTCAGGTGGGGGAGCCATACAGTGAGTTTTGGTCATAATTTGAAATGTCCATATTTGCAGAATGTCATAAAGCGAAATGCCATAAAGCTTTACTGTACTGATAATTGTACCTATGTGTACCTGTACCCAAGTAAACTTACACACTGTGCTGGCATGCAGATACGTACATTAAAAATCACTATTTGAAAACCACAATGACATGATGGGCCAACGTGTTGAAAAAAAAAAAAACGTTATTTATAGACATTTTCATTAGTCAATCTATGACATTTTTTTCAAAATTATTAAAAAAAAAAACACTACATATCATATAATACAGACAACCATACTATAACAAATTAACATAATTGTGAGGTGTGGTAGCTGGCCAAGAAGGAATACACAGATTAAAGTATGTACAGTATACAAGAATGAAAAGGAGATATCTAAAAGAATAACAGATGACCCAGACTTTATCACAATCACTAAAACCAGACTAACTAGTATGGTCAAAGATGCAATTTTTCCTCAGGGCTACTTTCAAATTAGAAAATGAAGAGGAGGAAAAGCAGCACTTCTAATCAGAAATGATTACAGATTCCAAAAACTGAGAATCCCAAACTGGAATGATTTCAGACTAATTGGAACAACAACAACAGGTTTCCTAGCCTTCATAACTGTCATCCACAATTTTCCACCAAACAACGACTAGAATATAATAAGAAATAATGCTCTAGCTATAAATATCAGGAAAAACAAGATATGGACCTGGAGAAATGGGACCCATCACAGGAAAATCAGAGACATAGGCAGAGAAAAATAAACCAATTGACTCAGTAATGCAAAACTGTCCAAGGCAGCAATGAATCAATAAATCAATGAAATTAAGATGAAATTACAAACCAGCAATGCTGAACCTAGAACATTCCTCTGGTGGTTCAGATATTGTGAAAATTTAATACATCAAGTTCCTGGAAGCAGGAAATCACTGTATTTATATTCAACTACAGTAAAATCTCACCTAGGATGCTAGTCACACCCCTAAAAATTGGTAAGCATTGTAAATTCATGTTGGAGAAAGTGATTAACATACTAGAAAAACAGGGTTAGGTGCCAAAATAATACTTCAGTGATATGATAGAATAACAGTAAGAGATGACTCATCAGGATGAGAATGTGACTATTGTAATACCATAAGGATCAGTGCTGGGTCCCATATTGTTCCAGGCCTTTGAATATCTTCTGTGTACATGAGGTGTTGCACGGCAGAAATAAATAAGTGCCACCAGGGCCAAATCCAAGTTGGTAAACAAATCAATTCCATAATGCTTTGTTTGTAAGAATATGTAGATATTTTTCTGCATATCTGTAAGTTAGGCTCAAAGCTGCATAAAGTATGGTAACTAAGCTTCATATGTCCAATTTTTTCCATGCTTGTGTTTCCTACATTGTTTAAATTTAGCACTTATTCTTTTTTGCCATGCAACGCCTCATATACTGTAATGGATTATCAGGTATGAATCATGTCCTTGTTCCAGAATTATGATCAAAGGGCCTTTATGTGCTTCCAATAGTGCAGATGTTTTACTAATTTTATGCAAGTAAAGGTTTTTGTAGCATTTATGGATTTGGAAAATGTGTATGACAGGGTGGATAGGGGGCAATGTATGGAACAGGAAGTAGGTTATTGAAAGCAGTGAAAAGTTTTTACGAGGATAGTGAGGCTCAGGTTAGAGTATGTACGAGAGAGAGGATGATTATTTTCCAGTAAAAGTAGGCCTTAGACAAGGATGTGTGATGGCACCATGGTTGTTCAATATATTTATAGATGGGGTTGTAAGAGAAGTAAATGCTTGGGTGTTGGCAAGAGGTGTGGGGTTAAAAGATAAAGAATCTAACACAAAGTGGGAGTTGTCACAGTTGCTATTTGCTGATACACTGTGCTTTTGGGAGATTCTGAAGAGAAGTTGCAGAGGTTAATGGATGAGTCTGGTAGGGTATGTAAGAGAAGAAAATTAAAGTGAATATAGGAAAGAGTAAGGTGATGAGGATAACAAAAAAATTAGGAAACAAATGATTGGAGGGAGAAAGTATGAAGGAGGTGAATGTATTCAGATATTTAGGAGAGAAAGTGTCAGCAGATGGGTCTATGAAAGATGAGGTGAATCATAAAATTGGCGGGAAAAATGAGGTGAGTGGTGCACCGAGGAGTCTGTGGAGACAAAGAACTTTATCTATGGAAGCAAAGAGGGGAATGTATGAGAGTATAGTTATACCAACGATCTTATATGTGTGCGAAGCATGGGAAGTAAATGTTGCAACAAGGAGAAGGCTGGAGGCAGTGGAAATATTGTGTCTGAGGGCAATATGTGGTGTGAATATAATGCAGAGAATTCATAGTTTGGATATTAGGAGAAGGTGCAGGATTACCAAAACTATTATCCAGAGAGCTGAGGAGGGGTTGTCGAGGTGGTTCGGACATGTAGACAAAATTGAACGAAATAGAATGACTGAGTGTAAACCTGTAGTGGAGGGAAGGTGGGGTAGAGGTTGGCATTGGAAAGGTTGCAGGGAGGGGGTAAAGGAGGTTTTGTGTGCAAGGGCTTTGGACTTCCATCAAGCATGCATGAACATGTTAGATAGGAGCGAATGGAGACAAATGGTTTTTAGAACTTCACGTACTGTTGGAGTGTGAGCAGGGTACTATTTATGAAGGGATTCAGGGAAACCAGCAGGCTGGACTTGAGTCCTGGAGATGGGAAGTACAGTGTCTGCACTCTGAAGATGTGGTGTAAATGTTGCAGTTTTGTAATTGTAGTGTAAGTGCACCTCTGGCAAGACAGTGATGGAGTGAATGATGATGAAATTTTTTTTTGGGGGGGCCACCCTACCTTGGTGGAAAATGGCCAAAATGTTAATAAAAACAATAATAATAATATACAATGTTAATATGTATTTTCTAGCTCTGCTGTCTCTCCCAGCTTAAAAGGCACTATGAGCACAGAACAATATTTAAGTCATAAGAGCACCAATTATTAAACTAAGTGCCATCATTAGCACGGCTTATCTTATTTTAAAAATTCTTATAATCCACCCTTTCTTTTTCTGGTCTTTTTGCTGCATTTGCCTTTTTGTGTTTTCCAAATGATAACCTCTGACAAAATTATTTCCTGTCTTTTACCTATTCCTTATGTTCTGATATGGTCTGCCTACATTCTGCATACACAGTAGGACCCTCGTATCCACAGGTTCCATCTCTGCAATTTCAGTTATCCGCGGTTCATAGTGGCCCAAAAATATTATGAGAGGGAGCAGGATTCTACTAGGAAAATTTAAATAATAATCTGATTTAAATTTTTTTTTTTTTGAAGTTAAGGTGGTCCAAAGTGTATGTATACTAAAAGTTTCATGAAATTTGCCCAAAAATAAGAAGATAAAAAGTAAAATAATGATCTTTGATATGGCAATACCTCGGTAAAATTTGTGACAAACTGTTAATGTTTAGGATGTTACAGTTGACTTTACACAAGCAAGGCTAAAGACAAAATGTATAGAGGGAACTGAACAACATATTTTATATCCCCAAAAATTCTTATTTATATTTTTTTGGTGTTTTAAATAAATAAAATATATATGGTAAAAGTTATTAAAAATTCCCTTCATGGGATTATAAAACCATGATTCCTTCCTTTCCTCAGTCTCTCCCTCCCCAGCATAAAACACTTATTTTTCCACCAATTCTACTCCTCTTTGCATGCCTTCCTCACTAGTCAATCACAGCCTTACTGCTCCACTCCCATAGCCCCATGCCCACACCTTACCCATGTTTTCACAGCCCACACACCATAACATGCCATCTACACTCTTAATTATGTAGCCACCAGCCACCCTAATTGCTACCCACACCAACTCCACACTCATCCACTCAGTCACTCATTATCCACACTGGGCCACCAACACTGCTACCTACATGGTCACCATCACACCACCTCATTGCTTCCAGCTTCCATCCCTACACCCCTCCAAAACCCAACATCACTAGTATGTAAATGAAAAATGACAAACATAGGGTTTACTACTATCCGCGGTTTCAGTATCCATGTTAGGTCTTGGAACATATCTCCTGCAGATAATGGGGTCCTATTGTACTGCAGTTATTATGGCAATTATGCTTATGTCTTGTATCTGTTCCTTATGTTCTATGGCATTGCCTGCCTGCATTCTATATACTGTACTCATTTTGAGTCTTCATTCTTCCCATACCTAATCAGCTGAAGATGGTCATTACTGAACACTGTTATCTTCATTTGCCCATCAGAAGACTATTGATTTCTGTTAGTAATTTTTCTGTCTTTTAGTGAGATGATGCTTATACTAATTTTGGTATCACTGTTATAAGATGACATGAAGCTGTGGTTAATATTCTTATCTGTGAGGACGAGAAATAATAAGTCTCAAGACAGTGCCTTGGGTTACTGAACACTAACTTGCTAAAACTGGACTTTGCATTATTATTGCCACTGTTTTCAGAACCCTGAATATCAATTTCCCTGCATATTCAGGGTATTTTTTTTCCTTGCACATGAGGCCAATTCTTGAATGTACAGCATAAGTGTTGAACCCTAACCTAATCAAATTCAGGATCAATGAAGCCCATTTAAAATGTTGCCAGAGTGGAGATGAATAACTAAAAGGATGAAGTGTGTGTTAGGCCATGGGACATTATATAGGATGGACAAGTCTACGGTCTTTTTCAATGATGAAACAAATAAGCCATAAGTACATCCAAATTACTTTTTTTTTTTCAATGTGGGACTGGTAGAAAAAAAAATGAACTGAGCAAGACAAAATGGAAATAGATGCCATAACAGGGAGTTCAAAAAACAGATATAACAAGGGTTTCCATGTCAGTCAATCAAGAATCAGAAAAACAGGACAAATGAAGAGCAATTTCCCCTTCTCTTGCATGGTCAAATAACTGGATATGTGGATTCTCTAAAATGCATGATCTGGCCACAAATATTTGGGAAGAGGAAAGTAGCAGCAATGGTTCATTTTATGATGCAATTCTTATATAGTATGTGGAACTGAAACACTTAAAAATACCACAATATGGTACATTTTTAACAGGATACAAACACAGGCAAAAATAACCAATTTATCCATATTTCATAAGTATCAATAAATAAGTGTCAGAGGATTGTAAAAAAGAAAAAGTCACAAAGTGGGTTATTTAGACAAAAAGATAATTATACAACATAAAAATGCCCTCACCACATATCAATTTGCGTAGAATATTCTGTTGACCCTAAGAGGACATCTGGAGGTCGGTACCATAACGTTACAACCTCATTGCTGTATGTTTTGGTTGGCACAGACTTAGCACGGGCTAGACCAAAATCTGCAAGCTGGGAATAAAAACAAAGTAAGTCATTGAACACTGGCATGTAACACAATAACATGTATATTTACATAATAACTTTGAATTTCTGTATTAAGTATTTTTCAAATTTGAAAAAAATATCCTTATGTTAATTTCCATTAACCCTTTCAGGGTTCATGCCATAGATCTACAGCTATACGTTGAGGGTCCAAACTGTAGATCTACGCCAAAATTCTAGCAGCGTCAAATTTAGCGGGGGAAGGCTGGTAGGCCTACATCTGAGAGAACGGGTCTGCGTGGTGTGTGTGTGTGTGTGGTGTGTGTGTGTGTGTGTGTGTGTGTGTGTGTGTGTGTGTGTGTGCGCGCGCGCTGTAAACAAAAATTCTAGGCACCCGTATGGCACTGTGGGAACGCTGCCTCAGTAACATTCATTCACCATGCCTCGCCACAAGACAGCTCTCACTCCGAGGCGAATTGGGACTCTCCTCTTCGTAACTGATAGTTCCGACTCTGATGGAAGTGGAAATGAATTCTATGGCTTCGATTAGTGACCGAAAGCAATGACCAGGATATTGAAAATAGTGCAGAAAATGCTGACGATCCTCAACCTTCTACCTCTGGTGTGGGCACGTCTCAGTCACGTTCAGTTGTACCTCGTCGCAAGAGAAAACTAATATTTCTGCGTGGCCAGGCTTCAGACTTAAGTAATGATGATGATAGTGATGTGGACTGTGATTTTATTGCTCTTGATGATCATTCGAGTAGCAATACTGAGGAATCATATTCACCGGTGAAGTGTCAGTATATATGCTGCCGCATGTGCTCAGGTAGTGCTCCCTATGCAGTGCCCAGGGGACGGAGTACATCCCAAAATTCTAGCAGTGTCAAATTTAGCGCGAGAAGGCTGGTAGGCCTACATCTGAGAGAATGGGTCTGCGTGGTGTGTGTGTGCTGTAAACAAAAATTCTAGGCACCCGCATGGCATTGTGGGAACGCCGCCTCAGTAACCTTTGTTCACCATGCCTCACCGCAAGACAGCTCTCACTCCGAGGCGAACTGGGACTCTCCTCTTCGTAACTGATAGTTCTGACTCTGATGGAAGTGGAAATGAAGAATTCTATGTCTTTGATCGATTAGTGACCCAAAGCAATGACCAGGATACTGAAAATAGTGCAGAAAATCCTGACGATCCTCAACCTTCTACCTCTGGTGTGGGCACGTCTCAGTCACGTTCAGTTGTACCTTGTCACAAGAGAAAATTAATATTTCCGCGTGGCCAGGCTTCAGACTTCAGTAATGATGATGATAGTGATGTGGACTGTGATTTTATTGCTCTTGATGATCATTCGAGTAGCGATAGTGAGGAATCATATTCACCAGTGAAGTGTCGGTATATACGCCGCCACATGCGCTCAGGTAGTGTTCCCTATGCAGTGCCCAGGGGACAGAGTACATCCCATGCCCCTATACCAGGAGTAGACAGTGAAAGTGAGGATGATGTGGCTACACTTGGCATGGATAGACCACAGGCATCAGTAGGTGGTGGTATTGGTGGTGAAAGTGGCAGAGGTGATGGTAGTGCCACGGCCATGCATGACTCACCAGCCCAGGCTGGGACCCACGCCGCTGACTTCTCAGCTCAAGGACAAAGTGGAGCATCAGCCACCACCCCACCACAACTACAACCACAACCAGCTTATGATGTCCAGTATCCACCAGCAAACCGCATCTGGGATTGGCAGCAAAACCCCAATTTTGTTCCCAAGCCCCACCAGTTTGATGACTCTCAAAGTGGAATCCTACCAACTTGTTCCCTTGGAAACACTGCAAATGAACTGGAATTCTTTCAACTATTCTTTGACCAGCCCTTGATGGAAACTACTGTCAGGGAAAGTAACAAGTATTTTGAGTACACCATGGCAAATACGATCATCTCACCAAAGTCGAGACTATACCGCTGGAAAGAGACAACTGTGGCTGAAATGTATTTGCTTTTTGCAACAATAATGCTTATGCCTCATGTCTATAAGCATAATATAAAATCATACTGGTCCACAGATTGGCTAATTTGTACCCCGGCCTTCAATGAAATCATTCCAGTGAACAGGTTTATCTTACTGTTAGGTATGTTGCACTTCTCTGACAAAACCAGGCCTGACAGAAGTGACAGGTTATACAAGATTAGAAATGTTTTTATGTATCTGAAACAAAAGTTCAATATGTACTTTTATCCATTCAAGAATCTTGTAATTGATGAGGCTTCGATTTTGTTCAAAGGTAGATTGCCATTCAAGCAGTATATACCGAGCAAGAGGAAACGCTTTGGTATAAAATTGTTTGCACTCTGTGACAGTAGCCTGATATTGGATATTATTGTATACACAGGAAGTAAAACATTGAAAGATACCAGGATGTTATTGGGTATCTCAGGTGACATAGTGAGAAGCATGATGGCACCTAATCTTGGTAAGGGGCATACTTTATATACTGCTAACTGGTACACAAGCTCTTTATGCAGTAATTTCTTGCGAGTGAACAAGACAGATGTGTGTGGCACAGTGCGTTATAATCGTAAACACATGCCCAGGTTCAACACAGGCACTCGTGCTGGTGAGGTGCAGGTGTTTACTGCCAATGACATCATGGCATTACGGGGGCATGACAAACGAGACTTCACACTGTTGACAGTCATTCACCCTAACAAAACACAAGACAGTGGCAAAGTGATTGATTATACACAAAACATGCGTTTGGTTGACAAATGTGACATGCAGATAGGCTTTGTTGACTGTGTTCGTAAGAGTTGCAAGTGGTACACAAAATTTTTCTTTTATCTCATGGACATTTCAATGCTCAATGCATATAATATGTACCAAAAGACCGGCAACAGACCACTGTATGGTGAATTTTGTTTGTCTGTTGTCAGACAACTCATAATGAAGTACCAGGTAACAACACCTGCTATACAAAACCGTCCTCGAACTCCTCAGGAAATACCCAAGCATTTGTGGAGGGAAGGTGATCATTTCATAATACAGCTTCCTGCAACTAAGAAGAAATTTGCTCAGGAGAGATGTGTTGTCTGTGCACAAACAAAACGATGGCAACAAAGACTTGGTTTATGTGTGAGGAATGTAAGGTACCTCTGTGCATGGTACCTTGTTTCAAGGACTTCCACAGGCTGCAGCAGTTCTAGAAACATGTCCAGTGACTGTACATATGTAAATATATAATAGAACATTAGTATTATACAACATGTGTGCATGTTTATTGTAGTAAACAATATTATAATAATAACTTTAGTGCAATTGTTGTGTTCAATACAGTTAGTATGTATGTATGTATATATGTATGTATGTATGTATGTATGTATGTATGTATGTGTATATATATATATATATAATATATATATATATATATATATATATATATATATATAATATATATATATATATATATATATATATATATATATATATATATATAATAAAATATATATAGCATGCAAAACAACCACTCTGAAAGAATAGAGAAATTCCAAGCACTTTCGTGACTACTCACATTATCAAGGAACTATGAAAGTAAAGCATCCAAGGAAGCTATATAAGGGGTCTGGCCAGCACCTCACTATCAGATCCCACAACGGTTAAACACCTGATGCGTGCCGACCCAACTTGGATAGGTCCTTTGCACAACTCACCCACAAACTATTCTACCCAAGAAAATTTAAAAACTATTATTTGTCCAGTGTATTATTAAATTCTTCCCAAATTCTATTAATTATAAATGATCTAATTTATATAAACCAAAGGAAATATTCATATTATTGTCAAAACTGCTTTTTATGAAACAAGATTCAATTATATTCCTGTCGACCATGGACTTGCTTGATACTACTTTCTCAACTTTTTGAAAATCAATTGGATGGTTAAAATCTCTTACATGAATAAATAGAGCATTGGAATCTTGTCCAGTTCTAATGCTATATTTATGTTGTTTTAATCTTAGTTCGAGATTTTTACCAGTTTGACCGTAATAAACTTTATCGCAAATTTTACAAGGAATCTTATAGACACATCCATCAGCATTTTGGGGGGAATTCTTTATCAAAAGTTTTTTTACTGTATCAAGATTTTTGAATACAACTTTAATATTAAAAGTCTTAAGAAGAGAAGGCATATCAACCAAGTTTTCATGGTAAGGGAGAACCAACATATTTTTAGTTGAATAAGGCTGGTTGTCCCTTTTTGGATTGTAAAAAGTATTTCAGCAACTTTAAAAGATTTATCAATTACATTTCTTGGGTATTTTAAATCATTACCTATTTCATAAATTTTGGATATTTCCTCATCTATGAACTCAGGACTACAAATTCGTAAAGCTCTCAAAAACATTGATGAGAAAACAGACAGTTTGACTCTATCTTGATGCGAGGAATAATAGTGGACATAGGAACAGTTATTTGTAGGTTTTCTGTAAATTTTAAATTGAATTCATTATTACCCTTAATAATTAAAACATCTAGAAAAGGCAATGAGTTATTTTCTTCAAACTCAACAGTAAAGTTTATAGAATGGGCTAAGCTATTTAATTTTCCAAGGAAATGGTGTATAACTACATTTTTGGCATAAGACACAAAATATCATCAACATATCTGAACCATTTAGCTCTATTAGGGAGGATTGTGTTAAGCAACCTTGTTTCAAAAAATTCCATGTATAGGTTACTAAGAACAGGTGAAAGAGGATTTCCCATTGCCATACCAAACTTCTGAGTGTAAAACTTATCATTAAATACAAATTTTGCATCAACAATGCAAAGTTTAATAAGTTTAATGATAGTAGGAACTGGCAATGGTAAATCATAGTTAACGAGTTCTTCAGATAAGAAACTTAATAAATCATCAACAGGAACTTTCGTAAACAAGGAAGTAACATCAAAACTAACCATGTTAAAATCATTTAAGTCAGTCAAGGAGCTTAATTTATCAACCAAGTCTATGTTGTTTTTAACATTAAAGTTAGA